ATCTATCTATCTATCTATCTATCTATCTATCTATCTATCTATCTATCTATCTATCTATCTATCTATCTATCATCTTCTTTATCATATCTATCTATAATCTATCTATATCCATATCTACCTACCTGCCTACCTGCTGGTATCTACCTACCTACCTTCCTATCTAGTGGTTGTGAAAAAGCATCATTTTTTAAAAAAATGCACAAAGATTGCGGCTTCCTTAAAACCACACAATTTGTGCTGCACTCAACTACAAGTGAACCTCATAATCTTGACCATCAAACAAGCTCTTTCTTCCCCGCCCTGTCGTCTCTTCCAACTGTAAAAATTGGGAGGCAGAGAAGACCCTTAAAAAAAAAAAAAAAAAAGCACAGGAATCCTTTGATGTTGCTACTACTATTTCATTAATCCCAGACCCGCTTGTTCTCCAAGACATGCCACCTTAAACTGAAGCAACTACTGGCTGGAACTGTGTGATTCTTGGAAACGATTTACAGAGCTCAGCCGAGCTTTTCAAACAACTGGAGGAGGCAGCTGCCAACTTTTAAGTGAAAAACGATATTAAAAGCAAAGTTCGCTAAGACAAACAAATAAGCCCTCAAAAATGAAATGAGTGGCAGAGCACCACTTTGTTCCCCGCCCGTACGACGAGAGGTCATGTCTGTTAGCAGATTTTGTCAAAACAAAAGGAGGCATGCAATGTGTCACGAGCCCCAATCTAAGGGATGAGCTGCTCTCCAAATCTCTTTCTAAAATAAAGAGGTTGCAGTGCTATTGAGGGAAGGAAGGAAAGAAGATGTTTTGGAGGGGTGTTTTTTGTTTTTGAAGAAAAGAAAAGGTTATGGGAAACAGAGACAAAATGTTAACCTGGCACTCAGGCGAGAGGTGAAATGTAAACTCAAAAAGTCTTGAGTTTTGCCAAAGTCAAATAGAAGGAAGGAGAAACTGCAGAAAACAGGTAGGTAAAGAATACATCAAGGGGAAAAGAAAAACTCCGGTCTTTCGCCCTTCTTCTTAAATCCCAAATAATAAAGTGCACAAAGAGAACAGATATATATCTCTATTATCCATCCATCCATCCATCCATCTTTCTTTCTTTTTTTCTTTCTTCATTCTTTCTTTCTACTATCTACTTTATCATCTATCTATTTTATCGTCTATCAACTATATTTTATCATCTATAAATCTATCTATCTACTTATCATCTATCTATCTATCATCTGTCTGTCTGTCTGTCTGTCCATCCATCCATCCATCCATCCATCCATCCATCCTCACCCCAATCTTCAGTTTTGTCTTTACCTGTCCTCACTAGCACTGATGATGTTACCTGGTTGGGTCATGAAATGTCTGCAAGAAAACAACCAAGCTCTGAGACCACCAAGGACCTCTCAAGTCCTTATTTATTTAATAAATTCATAAGCCACCTATCTCGCTATTCAGAACAACTGCTAAACATTCTCCTTGCAATTTCTGCATTTATATAAAAAAAATCCCACACCAAATCTTGTTGCAAATCCAGGAATTCTTCTTGTCCCTTGCTATGATCAATGCAACAAGCAGAATTAAGACAAATTAAGTCCGCAAATCCCCGATTTATCTTCAGGAAGGGAGCAGCAGTTCCGTCCTCTCCTACCTTTCGCTTGTCAAACTTAGCCGTCCTTTCAACCCAGACTTGCAAAATAATCTAAGACAGAGCTACAAAGCGAATTTTCTCAAATGAAATCAACTTGTCTTTCCATTTAGACTCGGGTGGAAAGCAAATCTCTTAATTGGAGCATGGAACTACAAACCCGAGGATTTTATCTTCCAAGTATGTGGCTTTCAATAAAGAAAAGGAAGCATTTCTCAAAATTACTCAGAAAAATCACAAAATAAACACAGACAATTATGTCATGTTAGCATCACACACAGGCCAAGCCACAGAAGCGCCAAGAAAATGAGCTAAAACAAAGGCCCCTTTGCCCGTTTTCAAGCAATAAATTCAAAGGACTTGGCCTAAATGGATAATATAGCTTTAAATCTTGTAATGTGCTATCTGGGAAGGAGCTGGTTTTACTACAGTGTGAGAACAGCACAGCATTATAACAACTTGCAACATCGCATGAAAATACAGCATCAAAGGGCAACTCTTTAGGATAGAAATCTCTGTAACCGCCATTGAACTTAAGACGGTTCATCCTTGTTGTTCGTCTAAAAACAGGGAAAGGTTGATCGCCATATTGTGAAACTTTACCCCAAAATACATTTGCTGGGAAATTTGGCAAAGGAGCCTTAATGGAGAGAAGTTACCACGTCTGGGTCAGGCTTCCAAGTTAATACACCCGTAGCAAACAGAACTCCGAGGCAAAATAAGTTGGATCCAAGGTAAGGCCAGGCTTGTTTATTACTCAGAAGGAGAAACGCGGTTACCGGAGGAGCTTTTCGGGCAGGTAAGGGGAAAAAATAAAATAAAATTGTTTTAAAACTTACCCAAATAAGGAATGCAGGGCACCATTTTTAAGCATCGGATGTACTCCCGCATCCTCTTGTAATTGTCTTCCTTCGACATTAAGTAGTCCAGCTTCTCGAAAGTGGTCTTGTCCTTGCGGTTCAAAAGCTGAAGACAAAAGAAATTTAAAAAAAGAGGAAGATACGGTTTACAGCTTAAAAGGTAAAGGTAAAAGTTCCCCTCCTTGCACATCCGTGCTAGTCGTTTCCGGCTCTAGGGGGCGCTGCTGATCTCCGTTACAAAGCCGAAGAAGAGCCAGCGCTGTCCGGAGACGTCTCCGTGGTCATGTGGCCGGCAGGACTCAACGCCTTTTAAGGCGCACGGAGGAACGCTGTTCCCTTCCCACCAAAGGGGTCCCTCTTTTTCTACTTGCATTTTTTACATTTTATTTTATTTATTTTATTTTGTCAAGGGATTATTAGATAACATGGTATAAGTATAAACACGGTTATGAATACATGAAATGGATACGAATAATAATATAATATAATATAATATAATATAATATAATATAATATAATAT